ATATATATATATATAATATCAATTGTGCCATTTTTCTTATTATTAATATTTTTATTAACGAGAGATCAGAAAAATCACAATAAAAGAGAATATTATTATCTCATAAAATCTTATTTATCATGATTATGAAATTTAAATAATTACAACAAAAAATAGCTATGAATTAAACAAATTTGTCTTAAAATTACTGTTATGTTGTTTTTATTTTCTTTTATAAATTTATATGAAAAAGCGATCAAATGAAAAAAGGGTTAATAACAGATGAAATAATCTTCACAAATTGGTCACCATAATTATCATAATGGAAGCTGCAATAATTACAAAATTATAGTGGGCACTGTAAATTGTCATCAATTTTCTTACAATTACCACACTCCAAAAGTTTTTCAAATCACTTAAGGCTCCGTTTAAGAAGGCTTACGTTCGAAGGCACTCGTCACCACCGCCGGAGAAAGACATTTGGCCACCGAACATTTTCGGAACGTCTCCGGACGCCAAAGTGGAAGAACGAGGAAATTTTGTCATTTTAGAATGCTCCTGAGGAGTCATGTTCCGCGACGGGACTTTTCAAGGAGCTCCGCCTTCAAACGGAGCCTAAGTTGATTTGGAACACGAGTATTACACTAGTTAACTCGAGCTCTAAATTATCATCATATTTATTATTGGACTGAATATAGACACTCCTACATGAAACTAATAACAGTCAATTATATAAATGATTTGATCACAACAAGAAATACCTGAAATATCAATTAATTGCCTTAATCAAGATGCGCTGAATAGTGAAGACTTAAGGAAATGATAATTTGACATAAAACATAATAAAAAGATGAAGAGTGTAGTTGACGTAGTTCTAGCCATTAGCCAACGGTTATTAGAGCCTTTGTATCAGTGTTTCAAAAAGATTATTGATTGTAAGAGAACTTAACTTGTATTGTAAATGATATGAATTTAGGGACATTTCCGGACGTACCACAAAATTCTTATGTATTTACATATATAACACTTAAGCTCTACTTTTTACATTAATATCACGTAAATCTTTTATATCACATTAAAAATACTACTATTTTAACTTTTAAAAAGGGAAATGCACATTTTCATGCATAGGTGAGGTGTCATATATTTAAAAATTAAAGTTTAGGTGTTACATATGTAAATACAAAGGAATTAAGTGTTATGTATGTAAATCTTCCTTTGTATTTTTATAGCTTGAAGCCAGTGTCATCAGATGTGTGGCAAGCATAACCAAAATATTCCTATTTAATGTGCATTAGTAAATTTTCTTTAAGACATATAGGAGTAAGAAATTAAAATTTAATCATGACTGATCTTAAAGACAAGAAATTTATCTTGAATTCAGTATAATATATGAGTACATGATCATAAATTGTGTTGCAATTATTGCTGAAGAGATTCAATGATTTCGAAATTCTTCACCATTAAATTCTGGTCAGGATATACATACCCTTTTGTTGGGGGAAGATTTACATGCATGCCACTCAAATCTTTTTTATTTCCATATCTAAAACCTAAACTTCAATTTTTATGTATCTTACCTATATGCATGAACGGTTGTATTTCACCCTCTAGAAGATAAAATAGTATATTTTTTATGTGATATAAAAGATTTGGATCGTACAAATAAAAAAAACAAAAGAAATTTAAGTTTTTGATGTGAAAATAGACAAGAATTGGGTGGTATGTATGGATGCAAATGCCCTCTTTTCATTTTATAACCAAGCCATCTAGTTTAGAGTGATTGCAGGGATATAGAAATAATAACTATCTTCAGATCTTGAAGAAATTTAGAAACAATAAGAAGCATCATTATTATTTACAAAATTAACGCCCAAATATACAGTTAGAAATTTGACAAAAGCATAAAATAGGAGTCGAAATTTTTGTTGTTGTAAATTTCTATATTTTTACAGGAATAACAAAATAGCAGAACAATCTACTTCCAAAGGCTATGCAATAACAAGAAGTGGCATTTACGCTTTACATATCGAAATCTTCTTTATTCACAAAAGTAACACTAAAGTGATGCTAAGAAAGTCTTTGTAAGAATGTTACCAATCTGATGCTAAGTTGGGATATAACTTAGCTAAACAACGCGTCCATTGACCTTCTCAGAGACGAAGTGTCTGTTAATCTCTATATGTTTGGTTCGATCATGGTCCATCAGAATCTTTGAAATATTGATGGTTGGTTGACAATCATTGAATATCTTAATAGTTCTTTGGTTCTCCATGTGAAGTTCCACCAGTTCACAAATTCCTAGGGCAAGTTTCTACACTGTTTATTGCCACCACAACTTGCATTTTACTTCTCCAAGTAACAAGGTTACCCCATACAAATGAATAGTAACCCGTGATAGCTCTTCTATCATTCTGTTGTCCTACCCAGCTAGCACCAATGTAGACTTCAATATCACGGTTCTCAATCTTCTTGAATAGCAATCCACATACTTGAATCATCTTTAGATGCCTTAGGATTCGAAACACCA